CAACAACAACAACAACAACAACAACAACAACAACAACAACAACAACAACAACAACAACAACAACAACAACAACAGCACCAGCAGCAACAACAACAACAACAACAACAAATTGCACCTGTGTGTGTCATCTTCTTCCCCCAGATATATGCAAGGGGTATTACGCTCAAAATGCAAGAGACAGCGTATTTATACCCGAGAATCAGGTGAAGTATAAATCAACAAGGGGAAGCGAGTGGTACGGACAAAGGACACAGCATGCGGTTGACAATGCCTATGAACAATCATTTGGAGAAATTAAAACGCTCCATTTCTGCGGAACAATCCATATATACGGCTGTATTAAAGATAAACTAAATAAGTGATCCATTATATGATGATATAATTTGCATTGAGAAAGCAACCTGAACAACATGTTGGTCGTCGTTAATTTTAAATTACGACATTTTTAACTTGGGTTTCAAGTTGTTGGAAAAGAGTTCTTTGACGTCAAGGCAGATTGAATGATAAGGACATTACAAATCTGCTAGAGAATTTTATAAGGATTCACATTATGAAATAAGCTTAATGAGTATTTGTCGTTGAAAAGAATATGTCGTATGAAAATTTTCTTTATTTGAACCTCTATGTTCTTTGTCCATACAACAGTCCCTTTCTCTTTTGCTATTTATACATCCCGCGCGCTGGTCTTCCTATGATAAACATTCTGATTTTTCAACTTATTCTCAATGTTTATCACGTGTTTGCTTATCAGGTGGATCACATAGTAATCATGTGATAAAATTACAAGCGTTGGGAATAAAAAAGTCAAACCGTGCGACTGTATACAATAACAGATTTAAAGAAAGCGTGGATCAAATTGTAATACGCATTCTCTCTTAATCTTATAGTCCAAATTCGTATTTTACATATACCGAAAACAATGACTTTCAGTATCCTCCAGTTGCATTCATGCTTGTTTCCTCATCATTCATCATCCCTGATTTACCTTCTTGCTCTTCTTCTCCAATTTCTTCTCCTTCTCTTCCTTGACAATCAATCAATATTATTGCACCAATAAACAATGATACAGACGTAAGAACCACGAACGAAAACTCTCTCGGCTCAAGTAGCTTTTTAAGAAGAGCTTTGTGTATGAATGTGGGCATGGATGTAGTAGGTGTTTGAACCATTGAATTTTGAGTAGTGATTGGATACAGAAAGTGAGAGAAAATATCACGGAATTAAGTGTCTGACATTGTGGTATTGGAAGTGTGTAAGTCTTGCGAGAATGGCAATTGTAAGACGTAGTTTGATAATTTTGATCGATGGATGTTGATATGTACTGTATGTGGTACACATTTGTGGAAGCCTCCGTATATAACACGTCGTGTATGACAATCTTTTTTACGATCTACATGTCTCATCCGGTAATCACACTTTTTCACAACCCTAAATATTCTCTCCTGTTTGCTGTTACTTTCTATTTTGTTCTTGTATTCATATCCCTCCACTTCGCTCCATCCGTGCGGCCCCTCTTACTTTCAATCCCCGCAATCCCTCGCAATGGTTCTGTAATCTTCGTACTCAGACTTTTCCAAAGAGGTTATGACTTCGCATTTACGTTTCTGCGTATTAAATTAGTGTCGCCATAACTTATGTTAACCAGTCCGTATAATAAAGTGGGAGCTGATGGCTGAAGCTGGAAACCATGACCTTCCATCGGTTGATCAGATTCTATTCTCTAAACCCATTGGCTAGTTTCAGCTTCAGCCGGATTTCAGCATCAGCCGCGACAAATAATAACGTTTCTTAAAATAAAGTTAATGATCGATCCGGATTCACAGTCGAGTCGAAAAATATCATTTAGTTTTCCGTAAATGTAAATTTAGTACACTTTGTACTACGAATGATTGGAGGAAAACTATCAAACTGTTGGAATTAAATGTATCATTTAATTTACCATAAACGAAATTCCGCATTTTTCAGAATCTATATTAAAATACAGACTTTTGACGATTCTGGCGCACCATACTACATGACCCTCAAACACATCCATTGTGTATTACAATGAAGTAAACATCGGATACAATACTGCGCAAACGTAGCTTGGAAATAAAGTCGTAACTGAAACAAAGTAATTTGGATTTTAATAAACATATATACATATAAATACTTCGAATAAATTTAATGATGACCTAATCATGTGAATATGAGATATTTTATACCTCCACCCCACTTATATTGGTCGTAAGTTTATATTCAAATTATTATTTTATCTCTCACTTGGATGTAAGAAGAAATGTTTACACTTATTCGGGTTTTGGAAAGTTCACGAATTGTCAATCGGAGCGCTACTCCGATTGTATTCAGAGACTGTAAATTGATTGAAATCTGCTTTTCTTTGCAAATATGATTTGATAACCTTAATTTGCGTGCTCTACCAAGTTCGTGACCTCGGCAGCGGACTTTTATGAGTAAATATTCGCCCATGGAAATTAAGAATAATCTAAAAGAGTCAAGTAACAAACTTTACTAATTCAAGGAATCCTCATATAAAGAACCTTTTAATTACAGGATATGCGGCAATCGTTTTCCTAAGCTTGGTTTGCGCATGACACATGTTATATTTTGATATATATCGAGGTCAGCTTTATTCATTATATTGAGGGTATCATAAATATATTAGGTTAAATGATGTCAACAATATGTGGTATAAAAAATTTCTTGAGCATGCGTTAATACTTAATTCTGTGCATGCAACAACTGATTCAAGAAAAGAAAAAACGGTTGATATTGCAACAAAAACATGTGAAGTTTTATTTGATTCGATTTTGTTACATTACAATTGTTCGGTTGAAAATTATGTTTTAACCTATCAGAAATAGGGTTTCTATCTCTTCAATCGCCTGATAGTAATCGTACTTTCAATCTTGCTTGGGGAACATATCAGGAAATTACAATCCTTTTATTTATACATTGTATGGATGTTATTTATACGGAGTAATGTATATTTGTTTACTTCTTTATGAAGCCTTATTAGTATTCAGCAGGTTTGGGAAGATCTTTTATCATATCGATTGTTTCAAATCGAGTTCTTATCAGATGCCCGATCAAATTTGGAAATCATTATAGGTTATTCAATGGAATTTCCTACTTAAGATGTCTTAGCTGATTATCCATAATTAGTAAACAAACATCGAAGGGTCCACCTAAGACTAATTTATCTGAAATTTAATATATCGTCCTCTGATACAGTTGAGCGTGAGAAATACGTCACCGCGCTCCATACAAAAATCCCTTTCCAGAGCAAAGATATTAATATACTATAAACTATTTGTAATACCCACAATGGTTATTAAAAACCAAAGTGTATTTAAATTGCAGTAGTATAATGTTGGTAAGCCAGCTGCTAATGAAAAAGCGTAGCGTTCTATGTGAGCAAGGGGTTACTTTACAAGAAAGGGGAGAATTGAAAAGGAGGGGGAAAGGTTAAGAAACATTTATGAAAAAGTAGAAAAAAAATCAATGAAGACTCCCAAAAATCACCGAAACAAATCCAATATATAAAATAAAGAACGCTAATATATGTATATACTTTCTTCCCTCTCACATTGTTGAATAATAGACAATAGTTTTTCCAAATTAATATTTGATTTTATAATAATTATTACGTTTCCGTGCGCAGTGTTTGCCGTCATGCTTTCGTTATTGGAAAAAGTAGAAGTAGATTGTGTTTGACCTGATGTCTGGGGGATGAAGGGTGAATTGTTATTGATCAAACCATGGTTCATAGTTGAATAGTTGACTCTATTGTCATTGGTCAAGCCATAGTTCATCGTTGAATAGTTGATTCTATTGCCATTATTTTCAACGTATCCGTAAGGCCTGATATTTAACTGTTCATTTCTCCCTGTGTCGATGCCATTATTGTCGAGAGGGCTGGTATCTGAAGGGAAAAAGGCTTGACTAGTTGGTAGCGAAGGCGCTTGACAGAATGGATGCGAGTGTGACGCTTGACAAGGTAGGTAGGAATAAACGTTATTGGAATCCACACTAGTTACATTTGCGTAACCCGAGTCCGCAATGGTTAATGGAGGACTGTGTATGTAGTTAGAGTCCATATTATGCGCCCGATTGACTTTCGTGAATCGATTGGTGAGTAGAACCGGGTCAGACGTAATAGTAATAGTAGGGTTAGTAGAGCGAAAAGAGCTAAGCAGCGTTTGGCTTGGAGACTCGATCGATGAAAGACATTGTTCCTTTTTATACAATATTATGGCAGTAGTACAAACAATTTATACTGCGAAGTTGAATGTTACAAAAAGCTATGGCAATTATTTTTAGTCTGCGGTGTTTTGTATAAAAGATCGCACAAAAATCAGAGTATGACTAATTACAAATAAGTGCTTTGTATTAAGGGTGTGTGCTGTGATTTGTTGAAATCGTAATTAGACATTAGTACTGTATATGCTTGCCGATCAATTAGTAAAACATTATGAATCATATGTTTTACTAATTGATCGGCAAGCTGAGTCGATACTTTTTACCGGTGAGTGTAGTTCAATAAAGCCAAAACAGACTCGCTGTTTAATAGAATAGATTCGAAAGTTGTAAAAAGATTTAACTGCAATAGATTCTCTCTATAATTTATTTTGTGGTTATTACGTGGGTCGTCTACAGGAATTATCTGCATAAGTCCAAGCAAAGAAATGCACTTTTACAACATATATTGCTGATATTTGGATGTACGTTCAGAAGAAGAAGAAGAAGAAGAAATAATTGTCGGGTATCACTATGTAGATGCGGTTTTTTGGGGACCCTGGACATTACATGCGACAACAAACAAAAAAAAAATTCCACCATAGTTGTTTACTGTATTATTGTTGTTGTTGTCATTACCGTCTTATTTGTCTTATTCGTCTTATTCCACTCCTACAAGCATATCACAAGAAAAAGAAAAAAATTTTTTACAAGCTTGCATAAAAGAGTGTGTTGCAAAAAGTTTTTATACTACATAAAAATGTACCGTGATTGGTCGGGAATCGCGGCGTATATATTACTGTTACACGGCGTGCTTCTCTCGGCCACACGTATTTGAATTGCCGCAGCAGATTAGTCTTCCTCGCAAAATACAATGACAATGCTCCTTAATAGTAAAACAATCCTCAGTTGTTACATCAATTTTTGATTATTATGTCTTCTCCATGAGTCTTGAATGTATTTCTTTTGAAAATTTGATAATGTTTATAATGGGATGCGCAAATATAGAGAATCGATTTATCCATTGCGTATGGGTTCGATATATTAGTAGTTTTACAAACATAGGGCAAGCCCCCTATAAGACTTACATATGGAGTTTTTTGCCGATCATTTTACAGTAAGAACATATAAACTTCTAACTGCTACGGCTTTTGAAAGAAGAACGCTAAGCTCTTAATAACCATGGAAATACATGCCTTGACACATGCACGACAAATTATATAATAATAAAAAAAAACGCTTATTAATAAACGTTAAATATGCAAACTTGCCTATAATTTTATTGTAAAACATCTCAAATTTATGTAGTTTTAACATGAGGTGCGCATCTTTTGTCTGTCAAAAGTAGTAGGATTTTGAATCCATCGTATTTCGAACGATCGGCGATGATTACTTAATTTAGAAACCCAATATAACGCCGACATGAACTGCACGGCTAAAAAGCATAACTATGCTATATACTCGCTATGTTAATTGTTGTTTCTCAGTAGAGACCATTAAAACTGGAACTTTATTCTATATGAAATACAATTATGCGACCTTGGCAAGTAGTCTATATTGCAATACCCGCTACAATAACCACTTTAAAATTACACAAATGTGTACCTTATCTTTCAGTCAAAACTATATTGATTTCTTCACATCATCATGTCAGAATTAGTCATTTCCTAATATTGGTAAACTTGTGTCCTAACGTAAAACGATGTCGTTGAGCCATCTTTAGAAATGTTGTGTTTATTAACAAAACAGGGCAGAAAATCTATATTTATGTTTGTTTGAACTAACAAATCGCAACCAATCAACAGTGACACTGTGAAACTGCCCATGCACGTGATTTAGAGTTTTTCAGTTGCACAGATTTCGCTGCTTTTTCTCCAAAATCTTCTAGATAGTCTTCTTGTTTCTCATGATTTCTCAACGAACTTCCTTTAACGCTTCTTTAGTAACTTCAGTTTTGATATCGTATTTGTTGAACATGCCTTCTAGTTGTTGCTGATGAACCAAGTTCTGTATTTTACGAAGTCATAACAAAGCGGGGAGGTATGAATGCTGGAAGCATCAGATTTTGAAAAGGCAGGGAATTGGTTCAGAAAATTGTCTTCTTTTAGTGCGTCAAATAAGCAAAAAAATCTTTTCGTCCGTTTGAAAGATCTTCTTCTAAAAATTCGGCGTAACATATTTCCCGCCAACTTGGTTTGATTTCAAAGGATTGATTCAGGATCGTCGAAGCAACTGCTCTAGCGAATTCTGGGCCGTGATCACTTCCCAAACGACAATGGATAATGGCAGATGAATCCAACATTCTATCCACTTCGAAATACTATGTTAACTCCGCGCTTTATATTTAAATAGTGATTCGATAATGAAGAAGAGGGTGGATAGTTTTAAATTCCTCAGCAAATAGTCATTAGAGGATATGCTCATTTCTTGTAATTCACCTAACCATAATAAAATTTATCAGGTAACTCATGTCTCCTATTACCGGGAGGGAGATGCACTAGCATGTTATTTTGCATTACACGCGGAGTATTATCAAACCCGTAAGAAAATTAGCCATTTATTGCCTAAATTTACCATGCACCTGATGGGATTTTGCAACCAATTCCTAAAAACTGTCCACTTTTGTATATAGGTTGGTAGGGCGTTTTTAGAATTTTTAAGGGAATAAACCAATTTACAAACTGGAAATGGAATTCTTGGCGCTCCAAATATTGTATGCCCATTTTGGGCTGATCTTGCCACCGAGTGGACATGGGTTTTTGGTACTATTTTAGAGAATAGTTCAGCAGTTTCCAATATAAATTTCGGGCTTTGTCTGACTTTATATTCATAGGATTACCTCTATCAGTGCCATCATGAAGATTACATGCCAAGTTTGTTAATATCAAGACTACAGACAACCAATTTGGCCATTTCTTTTCAACGTGATAATGTGCTACTCGAAATCTGTTTATCCATTTCTTTTCCTGTTAAAAATGTATAGACTTTCTTAATACATTCTGCCGTCGATTAAATCGAAGTAATTCCTGTGTTGCTAAGTTCAACGGCCAGTTGGACAAATTCTTTTTGTTCTCTTTTATTAGTTTTTCTGTTTCTTTTCCGAGTAGTTCTGGTGATATGTCTTTCTTTTTCGGATTATTGACCGTATTTTTTTAATATATCGAGCTTTGGTTTCTTCCCCCCTACTTTCATCGTAAGTGAATGGATACGAGAATTTGTAACATCTTTCTCCTTCTGGCGTTTACTATTTTCTCTTTTATCTTATATCGCATCGCTATGCAAGACGAGTCTCGTTTGTAAAAACCTTCAACAATAAAATCGTTTACTATATTTATTAAATATAGTGACAAAATTTTTCCTTCCCGTTTTCCACCGGAATGTATCATGGTTTCAACAAGCTGGAAGTATTTTATCATCGGGTAAAGTTTAATCCGATTAATTAGTTGTGCTCTCTTTTTTTCTAGACATGTTTTACTACAATCTGATTCAGAGGCACTAGGTATATCAACATTTTCTAATATAGTGTTCGTTGATAATCCTGATGCATCATTTGCATTAGATATAACGATGTTGTTGGCATCTATCTGTTGATGGTTCCGATAGACTCATTACTTTGGCGTTTTCTGAAATATAAATAACGTTCATTCTGTAAAACCTACTGATGATTCGGAGACAGCAACTATTCTGAAATATTAGCAGAGTTGATGGAAATTTCAGGTCCAAATAGATTGATTTGAATTTTTTCGAAGACAAACTCGGTCTAAGTGTTTAGCAACTTTGTTACGTCGTGGCATTTTGATGTCACCTTACTCTTTAAAATCACGGTGTCTTCGCAATATGCGACTTTATTATATATGCTAAAAAGTCTCTTGGCTAATTACGTTCTTTATTGTTGTTGTGCCCCATTCTAGGATTTGACCCGTTTCGGGATTGTCACATTAGAATAATCTCTTGCACCAATAAACTAACATGGTTAATGTGATAACGTCGAAAAAATATGTGACAATCTTGAAATGGGTTGATGGGGTCCTAACATTGTTATTAAAACGATTGTCTATCTTTTAGAGATAGATCATTCTATATCCGTTAAACGCCGAGTTCTCTTGTCCTTGACACAACTTGGCATACAAGATATGCATAATATTGTTATTTTTATTTTAAGAATTGATCTAAAAAAAAGAAAGCCTGCAGGCTATGCATCTCTGACCTAAATAGATGATATTCCCCTCTCATATTAATACAGAAAAACCTCTCTAAGTGCACGCTCTCTAAATGAACACCCTCTCTAAATGCACGGTTTGGCACACGGTCTTGGGACTTAGTGATAAATGCACACCCTCTGTATTCTGCACGTGCAATAATTTTTTGGTCCTGTTTATATAAACTATAACGCACGCACGTGATCGATGTTTCTATTGACCAACTATATTATTAACATTCTCTTTGTAATTGAAATTTGAATCATCGTTGTTGTTAAATTATCCTGAGTATTAATTCTTGTGACTGTTGTAGTACCAGTTGCTAATACTCGTTGTTGTTCAATATTGACGTTACAGATGTGAAATAATCAATATTCTTCACCTCTCGGATCCAATGCAAGTTAATGAGTTTTGTTTATTTCTGAAGAGGATATTGTGTATGATATTCCAGCTTATTAGAGAAATCGCAGAGACGTTTAAAGAAGACAATGATGAGGGTAATACTGAAGAAATGGATGACAGTACTGAGATTACAACTATCAGTGCCAGTAGTGCATTAACAAGCTCAGAAAATGTACGTTTATTTTGTTACAGCAAGAGGACACAGGCGAACAGATAAGACTGTTAAACAATCTTGAAAGATTTGTTAGTGGGAAAAAAAGTAGTCAAATGAAACAAACAACCATAAATCAGTATTTTAATTAATTAAATAATAAATTGATATACTTATCCATATTATTATTAATTTCGTTGTCTTGCGTTACACATATAACCATTTTCTTGGCGATACGGTTTTCAAAATGATCGGCGTCATATTGGGTTTCTAAATTGAGTAACCATCGCCGATCTGATGGATTCAAATTTGATATGTCTTATAGTTATAGACTCAACTTCCTGCTTTTCTTGACATTAATGCAAGTTTGCATGTTTAAAGTTTATTAATAAACGTTTTTTTTCCTTACTTTTTTTTAGTAGTGGACAAAAAACCCTATTATATAATTTGTCGTGCATGTGTCAAGGCATGTTGTTAAGAGCTTAGCGTTCTTCCTTCAAAAGCTGTAGCAGTTGGAAGTTTATATGTTCTTACTACTGTAAAATAGTCGGCTAATATCGAATCCCCCAAGTTTGATATTATTTTTCGACTGATTCGCTGAGTAATCTGATGTCTCCTGGTCGTCATATCTTTTTTTAGTAACAATTGTAAACGTTATATGTATTTTATTATTTTTGTCTGCAGCCGGTGACGTTTTGAAAAAATTCTTTTATCTAATGAAAATGGGTTGCATCAACGGACATGATCATTAAAAAATGCATTGTGCTCTTGCATTAGCGTTACTATGCCAAACTTTGTTATGCTTAACCGAATCTCGTTAGTCCTACCGGCCTCTTATGTACTACCGTTTCGCCAAGTCAAAAATTCGATTCGAATTCTTTGTTCAAGCATTATGCAGTTTGGAAAAAAATAGTTCAATTTGGGTCTTTAATTATAAACTCGTTTCAGAAAGCTCTGTTATAACCTTTATTGAACCGTTGTGTATAGAGATTTAGTCATGTATATCGATAACAAGTATAATATTTTTAATACCTTATCATCAAGTTTATTGTATCCATAAATTACAATTTAGTATCCCTTTATCAGTTATTTTAACGCTCATATTTAATAAACAAAAACTCTCTCTACAATCTATTCCCGAATTGGAAAAGGGCTAAGGCTAAAAATTTAATGTCAAAGGTCTTATTTCATAAAAGCAAACAATAAAATATGAAAAAGTATCTTAGTTTAGTACTAAAATAATGGAAATTTGTTACTACAATGTTATATATAACGATAAAGACCATACTAACAAATTACATGTGTATTTGTTCCACCCTCTCACATGATTGAATAACGGACAATAATCTTTCCAGGTTAACATCAGCATTCATAATAATTATTATGTTTGCGTGGCTCCTGGGGTTTGTCGTCATGCCAGCGTTGTTGGGGGGAGTCGATGTAGATGGTGTTTGGACTAATGCTTGAGGGGGTGGATAATAAACTGGGAGTGAATTGTAATTGGTTAAATCGTGGTTTTCAACGTATCCGTAAGGTGTGGCATTTGTCGGTTCATTTCTACCCGCGTAGACGTTGTTATTGTCGAAATGGCCGGTGCCAGGAGGAAAAAAGGCTTGACCGGAAGGTTGTTGCAATGCTTTACTGGGATCTTGACGGGGATAGATGTCATTGTAGTCCATACGAATTGGTTGATCCATGTTCGCGTAACCCGAGTCCATAATAATTGTTTGATTTAACGGATGACCGTTTGTATAGGTAGAGTCCATTCTATGCAAGTGATGGGATGGAATATTGTACGCATAATTTTCGTGGATTGATTGGTTATTAAAACCAGCCATGTCGTAAGTATAACGATAAGAGATGAAAGAAAGCTGAATGAGTAGTGGTTAGTATTTATACAATTTATGGGCTGAATGATGATGCTTGTTATTGGATGCTACTGATTGCGCATGCATGGATACAGTTACCAAATATACTTCTTATCACATGAAACGTCATTATATCAGGACCTTTTGTTGCAACAATGTTAACCAGTAAGGTTAAGGGACGCGCTGCAAGAGATGTAACCCGACCTCCAATGGAGCAAATAAGACACGATAAAGTTCTACATTGCCTCTCTAATTAAGTTTACTTAGAGAAGTTAGGCTCTATAAAAATAGCGTGTTGTGCACACGATCATTCAAGATTACATGCAATGTAACACGGACCATGCCACATGTGTGAAGATCGTCAATCGGAACGCTTCCCATTGAAGGTAATATTGATTTGAAATCAACCAATACGATAATTTCTTAATTGCATACAGCTTTACGACTGCTGCATTGCGTCAAGTTAGTTCTTTGAAAAGAATAAGAGCAGCCCGCTTTACCGCAGAGTTCTGCTAATGGTTGTGAATCATCTGGTATTTTTCAAATGCCACAAACGAGTTAAAGAGAATATAAAAACATCGAATCTCTATTTAAAATGATTGTCGAAAATCGAAATCGTTTGCCCAAGCCAATTTTTGGTAATTAATATTAAGGATCAATCTTTTGACTCGGAATACTTTGTTCTAGATGGACCGTCTACAACATCGTTATATTCCGAGATTGATAATTAATGTCATTATATTGAGCCCAAGTTTATTGGTTTCGGAAAGAAATTATATGGTAGATTATTCGTTTATTTAATCCGACCTCATTACGATATATTTATATAACTTACTCTAATACTTGCAGCTGGCGATTGTATTGATTTGGAACTTATATTTCGAAAAGATCAGAAAATAGGGTTTCGATCTCGTTAATCATTTGATAGATAGTAAATGTGCTGCCGGTGCCACTCAAGATGGCAGTACAATAGTTGTTATACACGCAACTTTGAATAAAACTGGAGGATGGCTAAAGCGGAGTAGAACGTGACCTGATTCTTGCAATTACATTGGTCAAATTTGTATATCAACCAATGAAATTGTAAAAAAACTACTCCGCTTTAGCCTACCCCTAAAACTGGTAATGTGTATTTTTTATTGCTTTTAAACAATGTCTCGAATTAGGGCAGGAGTGTAACGGTAAATGCAGCTGGGCGACACGGGGGACATCATTATGCCACTAGTTTTTCCCTTATTGCCACGTTATTAATTTAATATACAGTATATTATAATCAATTTTAATCTTTTATTTAAACTGCCTGTTTTATATTTTAGTAGAGAATGTGATTGTAAATAACTTATATCGGTCCTCTATAGAATCTACTAAATAATTAGGATAAACGGTTGAAATATTATTCCATAGCCTGTCCAATTCCTGCATTTCTTTTTGAATTTGTAATATATTGTTCTTGTTGGAATTTTGGCCAATGGATATGTTTTAGCAGCCTCACAAATCGTCAAATGAAAAGTCGAAGTGTTCTAAACGAGGCGATATTGAAACCCTAGAGTCCGTACATATTTTCTATTATTTGATATAAGACCTTGAAGGATTTTCAGAGTAACTTTGTTTGAATTTCGTATTAAGAATAGCCCTATCTGCCGCTTTTCTAAATAGTATCTTAATTTGATGTCGCAAAGAATTGATCCACGGATACGTCAATAATTGCTCTTATACTAAACGCAAATAACGTTATATAATATGCACCTGAAATCACTAACACTTCCTGTTCTCGCAAATCCATATCGGATACCAGTAATACTGCGTAAGTCCCTAAGATTGTAGATGGTGAATTGGCTACAAGACACCTGTCGGACCATCTATTGTCAACATTGATGCTTCTTAACATAATAGGCATACAGCAGTCGGCGCTTTTACCTCTGGTGTTGCGGAAACAAAACGTATAGACGTTGTACGCAAGTATACTTCAATCGTCGTGGGGTCCAAGAACGAATACAAGCATACTTTGCAATCTGGAAATCTCCTGCCGTTGCAGATTAGTCTATCTCCTTCTTTTCTCGCAAAGATCTAATGCATTACATCGGTTTTTCCTATTATGTCTTCACCATGTGTCTTGAACGGGATTTTACAAAGGTATATTCGGGGTGCGCAAAAATCTTGGTAAGATTGAGAACCGATTATATCCAGTGCGTATGGAATAGGTTAGGTTGGTTTAATTAATGAGTCTGATTGAAGTTTGGTCATATGCAAGAATCAGAATTTTTATGTTTGACCGAGTAATCTGATACTCCTCGTTCTTGACATTTATCATCGATGAGGTGACTGGACAGTTTGTGAAGAAGTTTGCGTCTTGGAGTGAGGAACATGCTCTCTCGATAGTTTTCACTGGTACGTATGGAGATAGGCCACCGATGATGGATTTCGTTACCAAATATCTTGCTTCCCCAAGTAATCTTACTATAGAATTGCTCGCGATTTCATTATATCGCGCACCGCTATTGATGCTTTTCAACAATAAATTTTGCAGCCGTGAAGTGCTAAACACACCAAAACTGTTAAATATGCTTTCTCGCAAGTGTTTTATATACATTCATCAAATAGGAATCAGTGTCTTTTGATTTTAAACCGTCATCTTGTGCTATAAACTGCTTTCATTGAGGGAATCGTTTTCAAAGCTGGGCATGTCATGACGAGGGCCGGCGAAGAGGGCATGGTTATGGGTGACAAACCCATATTCCAGGGGCTTTCACTATACATTATGCCACATGACTATATTGCGACTAGATCGTGATTTGGCTATGGCTCCGGTACTTCTTACCGTCATCACCTTCACATGGATCTCAGTGCATTCTGATATGGTAGCAAGAAGATTAAGTTAAGACTAATTGAATGAGAAAATAGCCTAGTTGGTTCAATACTACATACGCGAAGCTCTCTATATTACCATACTCGCCGCACTACACCAATAACATGTGGCTGAAACGACCGATATCTGTTCTCACCATTCCAGAATGGTGTTGTCGTCGAAAAGATCCAAGGCTCCCGTAAAATCCCACCTTATTCTTTGAATCCAACGCCGAGTGGAACAAACAGCAATGGTAAAAGTGGATGTTTTGTACTATCAACCATCGATGGAGAATAGGAAATAATCCAAGAATTTGTTGGATTTCGGCAAATAAAGAAGAGATGGAACAGATTATGAGAAGAGCGAGCAGAAAAAACCCTTTTCAATGTTTTACTCAATTGTATTCAAACTCTACACTGGACTAACCTTTCTTCTCAAAAATTCTTCACACGCGGAGTGAGATAATGGAAGTTGGAAAATGATTCCACGACATCTCTTTTTTCGTATGTGACCTTACTCTAACAGTGCTGTGTCTATATGCCACCATAGACGATTTCAGTGAACTTAACTTTGAATGCAGCAGTCTAAGAATGCTGAAGGAGTTTTTAAGATAAAGTGTGACATACGGTAGATTTACCTTAATATTAAGCCAATCATAATCTTGTAAATAAAGAAGCACATTACCTAACCTAGTACCAACACCTACACCGGCAAAAGTAATGGCGGTCAGTTTTTGGGACATAATGAGCTCAACTTGAAAGACAAATCCATCTAAAAAATTTGCTACAAATTTTGTTAATTACTTAATATTTGATACGACCTTCAGCTTTAATACATGCTTCAACTCGTTTTTTCATACTACTAATGCTGTTAACTATGACGTTTTTTCTAAAAAACGGATTGAGAAATTTTCTTAAGTAAGTTTCGGGTAGAACAAGTCTATTAAGGTAATACGCCCATTAACAACTGGGTATTTTGTTTCCAGCATAGTTTTCAATTCATTGAATGTCGTGAAATGACATGTTTAATAGTCATTCCAAGTTGTTAATATTAAGGAGATAACTCTTGTGGGCTACTTTCTTTCTATATCTTTCACCTTCTACTCGCTATTTATATTAGTTTAGTGTAACTGGGTTGTAGATTTACTTTGCAGTCACCGTCTCTACATTATAATTTAACTAGAATCAGTGCTCTGTTAAATCTACGGTCACAAACAAACACTTTTTTAGACACAAGACAGTAAGTACGAGGAAGCAGTGTCGTTATCGGCTGTCTTTGCTGCTCCGCTTGATAATGCCAGTGATATTCGGGGCGGTGTCAATAGGATTCGCAGCTCCAAACGTCGATTCGGTGCTGAGGTTAAACGCATAAAGGACCAATATCACAGATGAGATGACACCTACACTCCTTCACCTGTTGTGACCCAATATCAAGCACTCCTAGGCTGTGTACAGTTGTCTTCCCTAATCGGGTAGAATCTTTTTCATCTCGCATGCACGGCAACGGAAAGGTGTAATGTGATTAAGGTTAGCAGTTACCAAGTGTTACAAGGAAGGTTCTAATGTTTCATTTCAACAAAAGGTTGAAAGCATATATGCCACACCAAAGTAATAATACATCAGCACCAAATACCAAAGCGAATGATTATTTGTCGAGTCACTTCCCGTTAAAGGATATTTCTGGACGTTGGTGTTTGAGATAGATAAGACAATCTGGTTAGTCTGGTTTATGCTACGATTACTATTACTATATAGTTATGAATGTAGGAGGTAGATATTACTCAAGTAATGTCACTTTGATGGGTGCCAAATTCTCACCAGATGAGTAACAAGAGACATAATGACCACAATCCTGTCAATATTACGATATTAATTCACTGATTGTAAAAGCCATATCAAATGTTGTAAATAAACAATAGCGAACTGCGTCACAAAAATTTATTAATAAATGTTGCGGCCGGCTGATGCTGAATCCAGCTGAAGCTGAAATTTACATCCGATATATCTAAAATGAAGAAGGCTAAATAAACAATTACATGTATATTCTTTCCACCCTCCCACATGATTGAATAATAAACAGTAATCTTTCCAAGTCAATGTCAGCATTCATAATAATTATTACTTGTCCATGACTCGTAGCGTTTGACATCATGCTTACGTTGTTTGAAAAGCTAGAAGTAGATTGCGTTTGACCTGATGTTTGGTAAATAAACGGAGAATGAACTGTATTACTCGAATTATAATTCATCGGAAGAACCGAATTGTTGACTCGATTTTCATTGTTTTCGACGTATCCGTAGGACGGGGTACAGAACGGTTCATTTTCGCTCGTGGAGATGTTATTATTGTCGAGAGGCCCGGTATCAGAAGGAAAGCAAACTTGACTGGGAGGTTGAAGATAGATGCCATTAGAGCCTCTACTAACTGGTGGGAGACTGTTTGCGTAATCCGGGTCTGTATAGTGCATCTGATCCCAAGGAAGACTGTAAGTATAATTAGAGTCCATATAATACCCCTGGTCAGATGGAATGCTGTATGTATAATTGTTGTGAATCGATTGATTATTAACACCGGCCATATCGGTTATAAGAATGAGTTTAACGATAAAACGTAAACGGTGTTTTGGTTGAGATGTATGAGTAGGCGCTTTAGATACATTCCGAGTTCTTATATGTCTACGTGAGCGTGTACCCCATAATCTCATAATCAGTAATGATATACAATACTCATATTACTATCACATCACATACATATTATTATATACATACACTAAAATATATATTTATACTTGACTCCTCCCCCCCTCAGGCCAGACACAATACAGCAATATACGCACATAAAACAAAAAATTAAGAACTGTAACGGTAAAAACTTCTATGCACACACTACGTTGAATTTCAATTCACCCATTCAGTTAAGCACCCTTACCAACACACACCCATAAACCCATACACACACTACTTATACGCTCCACTCGCAAATCCTACTCACTTTGTAGCCTTTGCTGTGCTATCCTTTTGTACTTAAGCCAATGTACACTCACATGACAGAATGTCACACAAACACCCCACCCTTTCATCCATATTAAACCGGTATGGCAGGATGTGTCGATGATCTGTATACAGGATGCTATTGTTAATGTATTGATAACTTAAGTAGCTATGAGTATATTATATTGTATATATAATTTGGTGACATATAATTGGATGGAGTACATGCAAACATATTAATATGAAATCGGCCAAGCATTACAGGTAAACTATTAGAACTAGGTGACTGATCTATAAATAGCATTCTCGCAAAAGCTGGTGATCGTCAGAAAATCGTAAATTGGGTCATTTTTTTAATCCCCCAATATAAACGACTTATCTAATTTCTGGCGGTCGTTATATCGTTATAAAAATCATCGGCAAACCTTTCTTACTTCATTATACAGATATGTCTGCCTTATGTCCCGTAAACACGGACAGGATAAAGAACCGCAGCGTCGCAAGGGCGAACTTGTAACTGTGAAAAACCTTACTATTACGTTTGAGGTCAGGAAAAAGGCACAGGGTAGGTAGCATCCCCGAGTATATATCCCACACAAAAACCTCCAAATCACTAACTACCCATTTTCATAGATCAGTTGTCATATATGTAGTGGCATCTCAAGTCAACGCAGCCAACGCAGTTTCTCTCTCACCGTTAGAATCGATATGGCAAGCTTTAATAACCAATCGAGTCATGAAAGATATACTTATAGTATTCCGCTCAATCAGGTGCAATATTATGGACTCTAACAATACAAACGCGGACATGGGTAGTATGGACTCTAATGACATCTATTTTTAATACTGCCGGGTATTACGGATACGTCGAAAATGATGAAAATCGAGTCAACGATGCAACAACGAGCTATGACTTGACCAACCACAGTCCACCTTCCATCCATTATCCTCTCCCACAAACATTGGGTCAAGCACCACCTACTTCTACTCGTTACAACAACACTGGCATAATGACAATCATGGATACGTAGTAATTATTGTGAAAGCAGATATTAACCTGGAAAGATTGTTGTCCATTATTCAATCATGTGAGAGGGAGAAAGAATATACATGTAGTTTGTTTATTTAGCCTTCTTCATGTTTTATATATCGGATTTCTCAATGGTAAATTTTGTGTGCTTTTCATTATTTGTTTTATCGAGCTGAGTTGCTTGTACAATGGAATGTAGAATAACTATTACACTTATTCGTATTCTCCGAGGATAGTTTTCGTAAACTAGTCACTTTCCTCTTCATATTGACTATTATTCGGGTAGTAACGCAAATGGAGATAATATAACCTATTGTAAGGCGGTTTATATAGACGGCGCTAGTAATACAGTCAACTGCCGATATTCGACCGCTGGTTACAGAACATTTTTTTACATTTATTATTATTTCTATTGTAATTAGCTGACGTTAATTCGACTTGTACGTTAATTCGATTGATAACCTCGGAACGCAAGCGGTCGAATTATAGTCTGTAAAGGCCAGGTTTGCAGCAAAAGAAATTATCGATAGTTAACTTATTTATACTTGTTATCTACTAGTCGCTCGATATAAGAAAGTGGTCGGACAAACAAGTTTATTTCATAGGAATAACCTTTCTTATGTTTTGTTGCATATATCTATTTGCCTTCTTAAAACGATATCGCCTTTGAATAAAAGGCTTGTCTACCTCAATCCCGTTATTTGAATCAGACAATATTACCTATCGATATTAATGATTATAGAGAGATTTATGAATAAACCTTTAGTTTCCATAAAAAAATTTTTTAGTCGTATTCTTACATCAAGAGTCATGTATATCTATAGCTTGTGTAGATTTTTTTTTAATGAATTTTCCTCCTTTTTTTTGGGCTTTGTCTAATAAGATAAACCATACAAACGGCTTGCTCACCACATAACGCAACGTTTCCTTCATCAACCGTTGATTCCCGGTATCATACCTGCGCAACAGTTGTTTTTTCTTTAAAAAATAGATTTTTGTCATGATACAGTATATGTGATGTTTTGGAGGTCAACCAAAACTTGGAAAGAGGATAATTCCATTGATGCTCAAAGTTTCAATTTAAAATTTATGGGATAAGTTAGACAGAAGAGTCAGATCACATAAGCCGAGACCTAAGAGCAAGCGAGAACTATTACAGTTCTCAAGAACAAATGAGAAAACATGAGATAATAAAATTAAATAAGTTGATCGATAGTATGCCTCGCAGAGTTGCGGCTGTTATTAAAAATAAAGGAAACCCCACAAATACCTAAAAACTTCAAGCTGAATTGAATGATATAAATTTTATTTATCCCGAATATCACAGGTATGGTGATTATAAAAAATTCGGAGATTCTGTCCGATTTTTTTTTTTTTTTGAATTTGATAGTGATACAATATGCAAGCAGTTACGCCAACGGAGAATCGATTATACCATTTTTTTATCTCTTATCGCCATACTCACCGACGCTCGATATGGCCGGTATTGATTACCAATCGATTCATGGAAGTTATGTATACAGCACTCCATCCGATCAGGTGCATAATACGGACTATTATACAAACAGTCTTCCATTAAATCAACCAATTATGATCAACAAATTCCACTCTGTCAAGCGTATTCGCAACCTCCCAGTCAAGTTATTCTTTCTTCTGATACCGGTCCTCTCGATAATAATAACGTCCACACGGGTGTAAATACACAGTTGAATTCCGCGCATTATGGATACGTTGATGAGGACCGCGGTCCACCCTCCATATATGTACGCCAAGTCTTATTCGCAAGCTCGGGAGTTTGTAAATATATGCACACCCTCTATATTCTGTTTTTTGTTCACTTCCCGCTATATGCACGCCCGTGATTTTCATGTGATTTGTACAACAAATGATAATTACCATTATCTAAACAAAGTAAAGATCATGATTTGTAATACACAGTGAAACGAAGATTGCTTTATTATTATAACGAAGTTCTTTCATATAAAAAGACAGTTTACTTGAGCAAACTTTCATGCTAACGAAGCAAAATCGTGGAATGAATGTCTTCGTTAAAGTGAATTTCACTGTGTATTTACATATTGCGTTGTCTTATTGGTTACACTTTGTTTCTATTGAAAGAAGTCAAAATTGTTTGTTTAACACAGTCTTTATCATTTCTTCGTTTAATATTATTAGTTCGTTCCTTTTGCAACAGCAAGAAGATTCTAAGGAGTTACTTAAACATGTTAATGCTCTTGATTACTAATTGGTTTAAAGTTGACGAATGCAAAGAAACAAACAATCATAGACAATTCTTTTAGTCAAAAATAGTAAACAGGTATTTTAATGTTGTCTTTCATTATGAATAAAACATATAACACGTGCAACCAATAAAATGCTGTCCCTCCATATATGCGCACTCCATATATGCACGCTCCAGCTCATTCCTAAGGGGTGTGCATATGGAGGGTAGACTGTATTCAACGATGAACGATGATTTGACCAATTACAATCCTCTCCCTCAAACATCACTCACTCCTACTCGTTCCAACAACGCTGCCATGACGACAAACGCTACTAGTCATGGATACGTAATAATTATTGTAAAAGCAGATATTAACCTAGAAAGATTATTCAATAATCTGCCGATATACGTTGTATTCGCTTCTTCATTTTTATATATTGGATTCTGGTATTAGTAAATTTAGGGAATTTCTACATCAAATCATACGAACCACAATAATCATTATACACCGATTTATAACGAGACTTTTTGAAACGAGTTTATTATTTAAAAATAAATTCTTAAATTACAAATGTATAATGTTTGAACGAATAATTCATATTCAAATGTGCGAATTTCCAACTTAGCATAATTATCCCACAAAGGTGGTACATAAGAGTTCCGTAGTAGTCTCAACTCTTGGTTCGAATGACGGATATAAGATGTGTTTGTGCCCAAATTCGATTGTATGTGACGCTCTGTCGAGAAAGTCGATCTATGCCTGACACCACGCCAAAGTATCACAAGTAGCGTAAATGTAATTGATTGTGCTCAACAAGACCCTCAAACACCCTCGTATTAGATCCCGTTTTTTCTATATACTGTGTATTACAATGAAGTAAACTATATTACAATACTGCGTGCAAACGTAGCTTGGAAATAAAATCGTAATTAAACAAAGTACCGAATAAAGTTACCCTGGGTATTTTACATTTCACTTTTTTTTGAGAGGTACATTACTCGTGAGTACTTTGGTATACCCCTAATACATTGACAACCCCAAAGTGTTTATGTAACACTCTCTATATAAATAAAGACAACGCACCTGCAAGACGTTTTCGTATCACTAAACAAGTTTGCAGGAAATGGTCAGCAAGGGAAAAACTTATTGTTGTTCTATCCGAGAAACAGCAAGCAAATTCGACATAGAACCAAAGCAAATGAGAGACTGGATAAGGAACTAAAATGGGAGGTATAATGAGAATGATACCGTTGACGTTCATTCAGATAATGAGAATACCGAATCATCAGAGTCAACCGACAGCTACAGATCGATAATATGGACGAAGATTGTTGGAAACTACGAAAATGACTGGGGAGCACACGTATTCTTACATTAGGTATAATAATAATCTGCTCATTATACAAAGAAACCCTATGAACTTTTTGGCGACGAAAGCGTTTCGTTACAGTTATTGCGATGACTTGTAAAATGGTCTCTGCAGAATATGTTTAAATGTATATGTCATAGCATACTATTACATTAATGTCTTCATTCGTCACGTGATAAGTAATATCTGATTTATATAATAATAATACTGCGACTCTGCGGTAATTTGGATTTGTATTTTTAATATTACTAATAATAAACACATATACATATAAATACTTCGAATAAATTTAATGATTATAATTGTGATCCAATCGTGTAAATATGAGATATTTTATACCTCACATTTGGCTAAACAAAAGAGGGGATATAAACAGTGTACGAGTATATCGAATTTTCTTATTCGTAGATTTGGGGGGGGGTTTATATATATCAAATTATTCTTTATTTGGCTCATTTGGATGTAAGACACTTATTCCTGTAGTTCCTTTAAAGTTTTTCACGAATTGTGAAAGATCGTCAATCGGAGCGCCGCTCCGATGTACTCGAGATTGTAAATGCTTTTCTTTGCAAAATATTCCTTGATAACCTTCCCTACCAAGTTCGTGACCTCGACGGCGGACTCTTATGAGTAAATATTCGCCCATGGAAATTAAGAATAATCTAAAAGAGTCAAGTAACAAACTTTACGAATTCAAGGGCTCCTCATACAAAGAGCCTTTTAATTACAGGATATGCGGCAATCATTTTTCTCACGCATGACATCATCATATGTTATATTTTGATATGTGTCGAGCAAGGTCAGCTTTATTCATTATATAAAGGGTATCATTAAATGATGTCAACGATATGTGGTATAAAAATAATTCTGTGCATGCAACAACCAATTCAAGAAAAGAAACGGTTGATATTGCAACGAAAACATGTGACAATTGTTCGGTTGAAAATTATGTTTCGACTTATCAGAAAATAATATTCTATCTCTTCAATCGCTTGATAGTAATCGTACTTCCAATCTTGCTTGGGGAACGAGGTTGACACATATCAGGAAATTACAATCTTGTTTAACTGTATGGATGTTATTTATACGGAGTAATGTATATTTGTTTACTTCTTTATGAAGCCTAATTAGTATGGGAAGATCTTTATCATATCGATTGTTTCAAATGATGCCCGATCAAATTTGGGAAATTCAATGGGGATTTCCATACTTAATCTGTCTTAGCCGATTATCAATGATTGACTTGGATCAGTTAAAAAATATAAACAAACATCGAAGGGACTAATTTAATATACATGTTGTCCTCTGATACAGTTGAGTGTGAGAAATACGTTACCGCGCTCCATACAAAAATCCCTTTCCAGAGCAAAGATATTAATATACTATATAAACTATTTGTAATACCCACAATGGTTATTAAAAACCAAAGTGTATTTAAATTGCAGTAGTATAATGTTGGTAAGCCAGCTTTAATGAAAAAGCGTAGCGTTCTGTGTGAGCAAGGGGTTACTTTACAAGAAAGGGGAGAATTGAAAGGAGGGGAAAAGGTTAAGAAACATTTATGAAAAAGTATCTTGTGCTAGAAAAAAAACACCGAAACAAATCCAATATATAAAAATAAAGAACGTTAATACATGTATATACTTTCTTCCCTCTCACATTGTTGAATAATAGACAATAGTTTTTCCAGGTTAATATTTGATTTTATAATAATTATTACGTTTCCGTGACTCGCAGTGTTTGTCTTCATTCTTGCGTTGTTGGAAAAAGTAGAAGTAGATTGTGTTTGACCTGATGTCTGGGGGAGAGAACAGCGAATGGATGGATTGTCGTTGGTCAAGCCATAGTTCATCGTTGAATAGTTGATTCTATTGCCATTATTTTCAACGTATCCGTAAGGCCTGGTATTTAACGGTTCATTTCTCCCTCTGTCGATACCATTATTGTCGAGAGGGCTGGTATCTGAAGGGAAAAAGGCTCGACTAGTTGGTAGCGAAGGCGCTTGACAGAATGGATGCGAGTGTGACGCTTGACAGGGTAGGTAGGAATAAATGTTATTGGAATCCATACTAGTTACATTTGCGTAACCCGAGTCCATAATGATGGGTTGATTTAATGGAGGACTGTCCATGTCGTTATAGCCCATATTATGCGCCTGATTGGATGGCATATTAATCGATTGGTAAGCAAATCAGATATAAGGTTAGTAGCGCGAAAAGAGTTAAGCAGCGTTTGGCTTGGAGATTCGATAGATGAACGAGTAGACATTATTAGCCCTCTTATATAATAAGGGGATAGGATGTGGTGACACATGGGTAGGGTGTGATGGTTTAGAATGTAATATATTTTATACAGTAAGAAAAAGCTTGTACATCACCGAGGTTATTTAGAAAAAAAGTCGGGGGATTATAATAAAGACTTTGCAGTAAGTTAATATGCATATAGAAAGAATAGTATATAGATTATAGAATGCGTTCCGGTAAAGCCAAAACAGACTCGCTGTTTAATAGAATAGAAATCATTTTAACGAAAGTTGTAAAAGATTCAACTGCAATAGATTCTCTCTATAATTTATATTATTATGCGGGTAATGCAGCCAGCTGCAGGAATTATCTGCATAAAAATGCACTATACGAATGATGGTATTTAAAATACGCAGTTTGTATCAAAAATTCCTCAAATCTACACAAATTACGAACCGTATCACAAGAAAATTTTTTACAAGCTGGTCTTTAAATTGTCGTTATTTGCATTCTTACGTTAAAAGAATACAAACGTATCACAAGAAAATTTTTTTACAAGTTATATGGGGATTATATTGTTGTTACAAAGATTTATATATAAATGTGGATAATAGTACTACGATATGTTTTTGTAATCCGCACATTGTAAATATCACCCCAATAAGCGACATCTCGTTAACAATGTTAACGATTTTTGAAGTTACGTAGTCTACTAGCCTGTGTGCCCACTTCAAATGACCAATATGTTATATAATATCAATATATGTTAAGAACCGTGATTAAATATTTGCAACGATGTTCTGATTAAATCGAAAGAGTAAAGTATGACACAAAAAATACCCGAAACGTGAAGCAATACGATCGTAATTTTGTTTAATAGAATACTATACCGAATTATAAGGAAAATTTGCTTTGAAAAAGTCGCCCACCGTTTCACAGGGTGGTTGCCAGCCTATCGTTTGCTAGCTTTGTATGCGTATAATCGGTATTTTACTAGCAACAGCGAATTATGATTGACCTTCTATTTATACAACAATATAAATATGTGACCGCAATTCTATTGAGATATCCGTTTAGATTAATATTTGTTGCATGCATTCCGTTCTCTCATTTTAAGTATATAGTATAAATAAATATACAAAATCTACGCATGGCACCAATCATCAATCAGCAGTCATTTCCATACAAATAGAAATGGTAACACTAATAGAAAAAATAGCAGTTGTAACAACCCGCTACTCGCATAACTGATGTAGAAATTAGTATAGACAACTGTCCTTCTCTCTGTCAGCATTCCCTTAGGATCTCAAGTACTTTACTACATGCTTACAAGATCAATACTGACTTATGGTTTGTGTGTGTATACGTTGTGTGTGCGTTACGTTGTGTGTACGTTTTGTGTACGTTTTGTGTACAGTGTACGATAAGTTGATCACACAAATACACTACGTGAAACAAGCTTTGTTTTTGACCAGATCATATACTGATTCAACTTATGCTCATAAAATAACTTATAGCTGCAAATGCAAACGTCCTTATTGCAAGCAAATAAGCTGCTATACTTATAATATTGATACTTACGAAAAGATTAAGTCGGTCGAAAATTACACAGTGCATGCTGTCAATAGACATTTAACTGATTCATTTCATCGAAAACCAATGAAAGTGCGATAAACAATGTGTCACGTGAAATGAGTTTTTCACCAATGATGGATTGGTTACCAAATTTCCGTTGTGAATAAAAGTTCCTCGCGATAGTTACCAAACTTCTTGTTTCGCCAATTGATCTGTATAATCAGATGACGCGCACTGCTAATCTTTCGATGCCTACAGATAACGCTTTTCAACAACACTTGTGAGCACCATGCTTTCTCGCAGGTATGTTTACGTGATTTGCAAAGATATATCAAATATAGAATCGGTGTCTTTCTGATTTTTTAAACCGTCCTCTTGTGGTGCAGATGTCTTCGTTAATTATGAGTAGCCTCGCACCATCTTCCGGGACAACATATGGGCTCTATATTGCATGATTGAGATTATGGAATTTTGGTACTCTTATCCTCGTCAGCTTCACATGAATAGTGTCGCTGAAGAATCATTGACGTTTGCCCGTGAAAATTATCTCATACGGAAACAAAAGATTAAGTTTCAGTATTAATAGAATGAGGACAAAACACACAGTGAATCACCCAATGGTATTTTTTACGCTGGTCAACTTTTAACTTCCCAGAGCAATCCCTAGGTTGCTGCAACATGCAGGTCTTCTAATCCTTCGTCAAATGCATGCCCCTTGGGGATGGAGGGAAGGAATCTGATTGGTTTCATATGATATTAGCAAATGTTCAAAAAACTTGATCTGCCTTACGATGACGGGATTTATGCATGACATATCCATTAACAACGAGACGGAAGATTCGATCAGTCTTTATTCTCAAAGTCGATATCGACAATAAATGAAGATTGCAAATCAGAATTTGACAGTAATTTCTTTATTTGATCTTTGTTTACAATAGCACAATTTAAATTTCTCAACGTAATATTGATATTATAAAATATCAGTAGGTTTACTATGATGGGACTTGGAAAAGATCATGCAAAGCAGAATGTGGAGAATGTGCTTTTATGGAGGGTTCACTGTACTCTGTATGGGAAGTGGACTGTAATAAATATCAGTTATGAACCAACATGTATTTCCACGAAACAGATAATACTAATAAGAGTGATAGGCACACAATTCTTACAATACCACATTATCGTGCACTCTTTGTTAAAGTGAATTTTTATTTCTGTAACCAAGTTTATATAAATCATGTGTTATTCGTTCAAGCAAATAGTCAACAGATGAAATCATTCAGATCATATAAATTTTTACTTGCTTTATCATCGTTTCTGTTTCTCTTATGCTACTTATCATAAAAAATTTTTCAAAATCCGTTCATGTAACCGTTTTAGCTGGACTATATTAATATAACAGAATATTGGCATCTAATCTAGCCGGCGATCAAATAGTCATTATCATACTGCACCTTGTGTAACCTTTTCCCTTCCCACTCTGCTCAAAGATCCTTTCTTGTAAGGTAACTTTATCAATCATTGACGTACCGATATTATATCTGCGCAATTTCAACAGTCCTGCATTTTCGATTTCTTACGTTATATCTTTTTTTAGTAGCAATTGCGAACATTATATGTATCTGGAAAGGCTTGCACGGGCGGGGAACTTTTTTTGAAAGACGACTCTTATCTAATGAAATGGGGTTTGTTACTCAGTCATGTGGTGCTGTTCTCTTGCATTAGTGTTACTACCCCAAACTTTTTTATTGGTCTAATCTCGTTGGACTTTTTTGTACTACCAAGTTGGAATTCGCGCAGTTGATTGTTCAAAAGTTATACAGTCTGGCATTATAAAAAAATTGTTCAATGGTAGGTATTAGGACATACTAATACTGTATTTACGGATACAATAAATTTGATATTGGTGTGCAAAGTCTAAGCATGACTAAAAATATATAATTTGCAACAAATCTCTATACACGCCGGTTTAACGAAGATAACTTTATAACAAAGATTTTTGAAACAAGTTTATTTATAATAAATGTCAGTTATTTTGACGCGAGCAGTTAGTAAACAAAAACACTCTCTAAGATCTATTCCCGAATTGAAAAAAGCTAGTGCTAAAAAAGAAATTTTAGAATAGCGAGAAATTTTACCGTATATCGTCTTCATTCAGACAATAGTCAATACTGATAAAGGGAAATGACTAACTTACGAAACTATCCGCGCTCAGAAGGGTATGAATAAATTAATTACTACATCAAAGTGTGCCTGAAGTAAACAATAACATGTGAAAAGGTATAAAACAAGTGATGAAAAATTCCCCAAAATTTACTAATGACAAAATCCGATACAAAATAATAAGGTCGAACCAACGAATTACATGTATATTTGTTCCACCCTCTTACATGATTGAATGACTGACAATAATTGTTCCAGATCAATATCAGCATTCGTAATAATTACTACGTGTACGTGGCTCTTGGAGTTTGTCATCATGCCAGCGTTGTTGGAAGGAGTCGATGTAGATGGTGTTTGAGCTAATGGTTGAGGGGGTGGATGATAAACCGGGAGTGAATTGTAATAGGTTAAATCATTGTTTTCAACGTATCCGTAAGGTGTGGGATTTATCAGTTCATTTCTACCCGCGTAGACGTCGTTATTGTCGAAATGGCCGGGACCAGAAGGAAAAAAGACTTGACCGGGAGGTTGGTGCAATGCTTTACTGAGATCTTGATAGGGATGAATGTCATTGTAGTCCATACGAATTGGTTGATCCATGTTCGCGTAACCCGAGTCCATAATAATTGTTTGATTTAACGGAAGACTATTTGTATAGTAATAGTTAGGGTCCATTCTATACATCTGATTGGATGGGATATTGTATGTATAATTTTCGTGAATTGATTGGTTATTAAAGCCAGTCATGTCGTAATATAACGATAAGAAATGGACAGATGAATTTTTTAGCCAGTGCAGAGGGGTGTCGGTATTTTATAGAATATGTGCGTAACACGATTATTTATGTAACCAGGCACTACATAATACAAATATATATTATCGTGTAACCCATCATGAATGGCGGACCGCCGATTTGATCAGATAAAGGATTAGACAGTGATCATGTTCTATTCACCCTATGTAGATAATGTTTAAACTAGCTTTAGCATGTGCATGTAATTTGGAAATAGTCTTACACTATTGAATGTGTTGTGTTTAAATACCGCCACTATGTAGATGCGGTTTTGGGGACCCTGAACGGGATTTACATTCAAGGAAGTAGCAAAAAAAGATTATGAGATGGGCGACACAGATCTTTCCTATTTACATGAAAGTAGATAGTTGCCATAACGGTTATGGTTATTAACTGTCGATATTAACTGTGTAATCATACAATAAATAAATAAATATAGTAATATAATCACTATCATTGGGCTGAGTCTCCTCAGATAGTCAGCCAATGGCAAAAAAGAAAAACAAGATGTTGTAAGTCAAATTAGGGAAGATTGTCAACCGGAGCGTTAGCTTCACCACTCCGATTGTATTCCGGAGATTGTAATACTTTTAAAACTCCATCTGATGCATTAACATGCTCGAGATTTGTCAGATGGCAAAGCTTTTGCTTTCTCTACTAGGCATGACTTGGCAAACTTTGGTTTGTGTACTCTAAGGCTGAAGTTAAACTTTCATTTAGAAGCAACAATTATGATAACTTTATAAGAATGTTAGAGACTGTGTTTTCTTACCACATACGGCTTGGCGATTTCCGCTTGAGTCAAGTTAGGTTAGCTTTTTCTTTGAAAACATTAAGAGCAACTCGCTTTATTGCTAAACATACTCTATGGCTGCCGCAGGGGGTTCTGCTAATAACGGCTATTCATCTGCCACAAGCGAGTTAAAGAAAATATAAAAATATCGAATCTTGATTTAATTGGTTGATGCTCGATAAAACGATTGTGACTATAGTAATGAAATCGGTTTCCTTACTATTTTATCACGGTTACTCTATTGCGGCTGGCAATTGCTGAATTGTATTGGTTTACGTTAGTCACTTGATATTTCTCGATTAGGGCATGCAGGGCAATATCTTGACTATGGGGAGTTCTTTATCATCACTACGCTGCAACACACTGTAATGCCCCCAGATATAAAAGATAAACGTCACGTTTTTTCAGTTTCTATTAAATATACGGACAATTTGTCTGTATGGTACTATACGGCATGTAAGGACCGACCACTAGTTATCGAACCGGTTTTGTTTTACATGAGGTGGGCACATAATATGTACAGAATATTATAATCGGTCAATTTTGACAATGGCACAAGAAATTTATCACACATCATTTCCGATCTTTTATTTGAAAGCCTGAAAATACGGTGTTATATTTTTAGAGAATGTAATTAGCATTATTTTCTATAAATAGTTTATATCACATCTATTCCCTGTAGTCTCCTGATTTTCGTAATATATTCTCTTATTGGAATTTTAGTATATTTTAGCGGTCTTACCCCATTAATATAATATCGTCTATTTATTGTTGATAGATTGCAACATTTTACAATTTTGTTTTGCATAAAGGGGAGACCTTGTAGTCAGAGAATAAAGAATAAAGACGTAACTGAAATAAAGTGTACTTTTGATGAACGCAAAATATACTAAGACCTTGAAGATATTTTCAGAGTAACTTTATTAGCAATAATGATTTTCGTATTAAGAATAGTAATGTTTGTCTTCTATCGGTGCTACAAGTTCGATTTTTGCGACATCAGATTAAGATATTATTTAAGCAGAATGGAGAATATATGAGGAATTGCTCTTATAATAAACGTATATGACATTATATAATACATGTGCAAAGGCACTGATACTACTGAGACTTCCTGTGCGGTACGGCATGGTAGCATTTCTTGTGAATCCATGCCGGATGCTAGCAATACTTTGTAACCGGTACTCATTCCTGAGATTGTTGATGGTGAATTGGTTGCAAGACACTTGTCGGATCATCTATTGTCAACATTGGTTCTTCTTAACATAATAAGCATATAGAAAAAGGGGCAGTCAGCGCATTTACCTCTTTGGTGTTGCAGAAAAGAAAGCACATAGACATTATATGAAAGTACGCTTCAATCGTAGTGGTCCAAGAACGAATACAAGCATAATTTGCATTCTAGAAATCCTGTCGTCTGTCTACTTCCTTGCCCGCAAAGATCTAATGCACTGCTCATTAATAAAGGAAACGTTTACATTGGTTTTGCCTATTATGTCTTTACCATGTGTCTTGAACTTAGATATTGAATAATTCTACAAAGATATATTCAAGGTGCGCAAAAAACTCTTGGTAAGATTGAGATCCAGTGTGTATTGATTTGGTTGATATAATTGATGAGTCTGGTAAAAGTTTGGTCATATGCAAGAATCAGAATTCTTATGTTTGACTAGTCGGCCGATTAATCTGATACTCCTTGTTCTTGACGTTTATCAACGATGGGGTGATTGGACGGCTTATGAAGAAGTTTGCGTCTTGGAGTGAAGAACGTGCTCTCTCGATAGTTTTCACCAATATAAATGGAGTAGGTCATCCGATGATGGAGTTTGTCACCAAACATCTTGCTTCGCCGAGTAATCTTCCTATAGAAATTTGCTCGCGATTTCATTGACGGGTCAGGTGCTAATATTGGCAGCGTTGTTTCATGATAGTTCCCGTAACGGTCCAAAATGGTATGATTCGACATTCGGATTCTAATCAAAAGATTTCAGTATTGTATTTGTGCTTGTTAACAAGCCTCCTATTTAAAAATGATGCAGACGCTAACCTTTTTCCAGCGTGCCTTTTGTCATTAAATTCCACTGCTATTAATGCTTTTCAACAATGCTTTTTGCAAGTGTTTTACATGCATTCATCAAATAGGAATCAGTGTCTTTTGAAATTTTCAACCGTCATCTTATGCTAGAAGCTGCATTTGTTGGAAAATCATTTTCATAAAGCGGGCGACGGGCCGGTGAAGAGGGCATGGGATATAGGTGACAGATGCCATATTCCAGGGGCTTTCACTTCTAGGAACAATACATTACTCCACATAATTATATTGCGACTAGACCATGATTTGGCTATGGTTCCGGTACTTCTTACTCTCATCACCTTCACATGATCTCTGATACATCTCAGCGCATTCTGATATGGTAGCAAGAAGATTTAGTTGAGAACTAATCGAATGAGGAATAGGAGAATCAAAGTTAGTCTCGGATACATACATCAGTGCTTAACGCGAAGTATCTCCAAGTCGTTAGTCTACCAACACTTTGTGACTCAACAACTGATATCCATGTCCATTCTCACCAACCCAGAATGGCATTTTTATAAACATGCGACCGAGGGTATAGTAGAACAAACAGCAATGTTAGAAGTGGGTGTTTTGTAGTATTTCTGCCATCGGTGGAGGATAGGTGACAAAATATAAGGATGGTTAAGTAGAAGATGATAAAGAATGTAAAGAGCGTAAAGAGATGGAAGATATAGCAACAGAAATCGAGCAGACAAATCCTCTCTAAAACTCTATACCTAACCAACCTTTCTCTTCACACGCGGATCGGCAAGGACGAAAGACAAAGCATTGTGTGATTCCACAACGGGCTCTCTCTGCCCCCTTGTCACTTGCTTTTTTCGTATGCGAACTGAACCTAACCAATGTTGAATGAGACGGCGGACCATGCGCATAGACGCTGAACTTTTGAAGGCGACACACTATGAATGTCGAGGGAATATGTGAAAATTTTCTTTTGGCTGTAATTGGTCAGCGAAACGTATATAGATCCCCAAATCAATTTTACGCAATTATACAGTATGGTATATAAATCGCGCAACCAAAACAACCTGAAGTCTTTACATTTATTGATATGATATGAGATACTAGATTAGAGTATACTTCTGGGTTTCTTTCATTCGAGTTGTCAAGTTATAGGCGATATTTCCTTTTCGTACCGCTAATTGTTTTTCTTGCGCTATTTTTCACTCAATTACTCGATGCTCTTGTCGATGGACTTCATTCATCATAGTCGAAGAATAATAATCGCATGATAGATACGACAATAATCAGGATTTTGATTATTTCATCTTGATATTTACTGTTAAAACGGTTTAAACACTAACTCAAAGTATTCCTAACGCTCATTGAGAATTGTATCGACAAGACTTTTATTCTTCATTTTCGTCCTCTTTAATGCTTACATCTTTCTTCTATACTTTATGTTGCCAGCTTCTCTACCAGATTATAGCAACCCGATTGTTGTTAATAAAGGCTATTGTGACGGGCTATATAATAGTTCAATGATGATAATCTTCTTACCTCTACAAGGAATAACATTAAGAGAAGCAACAAAAGTCAAAGCGTAGTTGGTGTCTATCTGGTAGACAGGCAAAATGTATTTGTAAAGATGCATGCGGATGACGGCTGTGGTGATAAAAATCCGTTGGCAATTGACGTTAGTATTAGTATTAGTATTGGATTGGATTGGAAAACCGCGAGGTAAGTGGCTGAGCGCTGTTTTGACATTTCAGTGGAACAGTCTATTTTCGAAATAGACACATTGTCTAAATATCACGACATCTAGTTTATCCATAGACAATAGCCCTAGACGGATTACCAGGGAGTTTCTAGACACTGTATATTGCTTTATTCAGAAAATAGTCAAAATGGCCAGCAATTTGCCCCCAGGAGGGTACGAATAAGTGAATCGTACATCCAAGGAAACAGATAGAAAGAAGCAATAGGTTATCTCAGTTCGATATAACTAAATATAAATTACTCGAATTTACTAATACCAAAAAATCTGATATATAAAAAACGAAGAACAACCATACAATCTTTCTACCCTCGCAAATAATCGAATTATAGACATTAACCTTTCCAGGTTAATATCTGCTTTCACAATAATTACTGTGCATCCATGACTCGCAGCGTTTGCCAACGTGCCAGCGTTGTTGAAAGGAGTAGTGGTGGGTGGTGTTTGAACTAATGTTTGATAATGAACAGAAGGTGGATTATAGTTCATAGTTGAACAGTTGACCACATTTTCATTGTTTCCGACATATCCGTAATTTTCGGTATTCAACGATTCGTTCACACCACCAATGTAAACGCCGTTATTATCGAAAAGGCCGATATCGGAAGGAAAAGAATCTTGACCGGGAGGTTGGGGAGACGTATGATAGGAATGGATGCCGTTGTAGTCCATAATAATCGGTTGATCCATGATTGTTTGATTTGATGGAAGGTCGTTTGTACAGTTAGAGTCCATACTATGCAACTGATCGGATTGAATATTGTATGTATAGCTTTCGTGATTCGATTGGCCAGCCATATTGGTATAAAAGAGATAAAACGGTTCGTGGTTTGAGATTCGATAGTAGGAATTTGTGCGTATATATAAGATGACGGGATTTATGCAAGACATTAGCAATAAAGATATTATATTTATTTATTCATTTTTACAATAATATATTTATATACTATGGCTCCTCCGTAAATAAGTTTTAAACTCCCTTTATGTAATAATCTAATAATCCTTATGACAATTCATTCAATGAACGAATCTATTTGGTGATGAAGGGACAAGATTATGTACTTATAAGATTATGTACTTATGCTCCGATAGGCTCCTACATAATTTAAAGTTCTCGACGAACATGTGGGTATCCTTGTCCATGGTTGCACTGGATGAATTAACAATTGAAAATTCATGATATCGTCAAGTCAAACCTCGATATAGTCAAGTCGACGGGACGGGGATTTTTCTTTACTACATCGAAACTTCACTATATCGACAATTTTCGATATAGTAAAGTTCATACATAAGTGGCATAAATCTTCACTATATTGCGACTGCAAATCTTATAGCAGTATAATAAACGATTCAAACGTTATTTCTACTGACGAATCTAATGCTGCTGAACGATTTATATGAATGTATTGATACTAAGTTTTTATACGTAGCAAGTGTCATGCCGTTCAATTATGTAGTAACATCTTAAGGTTTCACAATTTATTAATTCTCATATTGATTAATCAATGTTTGTGAACAAACACATCCAATTCTCTTGAAAACAATTTCTCTTTTCAATTTGCTTAAACCTCGGACGAAAGAATTATCAACAGTAAAATTGCCATCTGGTTGTTGTTCAAGAAAAGATACGGTGCCGTCAACAAACGTAATGGCTTGTGCATAGGATATCGGCTCTGTCTCCGAATCTTCTTCGAGAGTATGTGTGGTGAAGTTGTCTAAAAGGAGAAGAATTGAACGGCCAGCACGTTTCATTTGGTTATCGAGTTGTCTTATATAGTGATTGAATATGGATGCTTGCATCCAAGCAGAGCTATTCCAATAATAGTGCACCGGTAAAGTAGACTTATCGATGCAAAGTGGACGAGGATTTTTATATTTGTATACTAACGCTTGTCATTGCCGGTGGCGTTGCATGCAAGTAAGATCGTAAGTCGGTCTTTAGACTTTTTTTTCCAGAAATCGGACCACTTGCCAATGATTTATCAGGCTCCATTCGCCAATACAATCCTGTCTCATCAGCATTATAAACATTCTCAGGCTAATAGTTCTCAATTATTTCACGTAGCTCAGCTTGAAACTGGGGAATTTCGTCAAGAGGAGCACTGGCAGCTTCACCTTGGCGTTTGTACTCTTTTATATAATATCGTTTTTTGACATTTGTTAATCATCCTCTAGAGGGATTAAAAATCTTTTACGTCAAGAGCTTTTTTGCTTTTCCTTGTATTATTTCACCTGTGATCCTCTGCGATGCTTCAACAGTTCGAGATATCCAAAGAGCAACAGCCTCTTCTAACTGAGGATGCTTTCCAGTTCTTTGTCGCTTCATGATAGCCTTATTAGTATTAAGATCAAGTG